TTATCTTGCTTATATATTTATATAGATTATTCTATCCTATATTATTTTGAACAAAATTATATTTTTTTGTATTCATTTTACAATAATTTTTAGAACCTATACCAAACCAACTAATATCATACAGTATTTATATATGGTCTAGTTTCAATTTTACTTAATTTGAATGTTTATAATAAAATGAATTTTAAATTTTAAATAGAAAAATTCATTTTTTTACCTCTAAACTAGACAAGTTGTATCAATTTTAAGCATAAAGTTTTAATTTGATCAAATTGAACCTTATAAATTAGATAGATGTTCAACTTTTGCTATCAATTAATTTCTAGTAAGCCACTCATTAATTTTTGTAATTTAATAAAAATCAAATTTTCTCCAAATAAGTTTGACCAGTCATAAAATCTACTTTAATTGGTTATCCTCAATGATGAGGGCCATAACTCTCTCTGTCAAATTGCAAGTTAATTGCTGACAAAAAAGCCCAAAATGAGTTGCTCAAATAATGTCATCCATAAACATAATCAAATCAATCTCCAAAACCCAACAATTTTGTTCRTGAAAAGAGGCAACAACCTTTTTCTTTCCCTAAGATACAAATTATGTTCATATAGGCCTAAGGCTAATTTTTTCTTTTATCGCSGACGTACATTAATCTAATTTTATTAAAATATTTTTTATTCAAGTGCAATTTAAGTAAATTTAATTTTGAAAATCTTTTTTCAAATATTGTTAATTTTACTAATATTTTGTAATCATTATACAATATATTATTGTTAAAAATATTTTATAAGCATTAGAAGAAAAAAGAGATAAAAAAATTATGTTTAATTGCACCTTAATATAGATGGATTGAATGAATGTAGATAATATATCGAAGAAGATTAGGCTGGCCTAAGACAATGGACATAATTTACTTCAAGTTGGTAAACAAAATTTATATTTATTATTTTAACTTTAAATCTCTTAATCAAGTTCATTTTATATTTATCAATATTTATTTGGGTTTTTCTATAAAACTTTTGTCAATTATATTATTTATAGGACAACCTTAAGACAATTATGATATCGATAGAAAATAGAGACCTCTAAAATGATGTCRTTTATATTTTGAATCGACGGTGTTTAAAAAGAAAAAGATGCTAATTTCTCATCCAATTCATTTTGGTAGTTTCAAAGTAGAYATTTTAGTAGTTTTAGAGGAAGCTCCGACAGATTTGATGGGAGCTATTCGTGCGGACTTAAAAGCTGGTTGAACAATAGGAGTCTATTGTTCTTTAATTTTCTTCTGTTTTTTCGTTTCCAATATTATAAAAAAAAAAGTACTAAATTTTCGATCCAAGTTCAGAAATTWAAAAAAAAACAGTAAAATGGAAAGAACATTGGCTTCTATTGACATGGACTTTCTACTCATCATTTTCACCCACCACTATTTTGTTTTTTATTTTCTCCCAATTTCTCGAAAAAGAAAATTCTGGGTTTTTCATTTTTGTTACCTAGAAAATCAAGCATCTATAGTGGCTTTCTCGGCGGTTGACAAATTTAAGGGATGAAAGAAAATAATAAAATATGGTTTCATTTTATTCCTTTTTTTTTCTCTTTTCCATAGAAACAAACCATCCTATTTATAAAAAAAAAATAATTACTCAGAAATAAAATATCTAAATTAAAAGAACATCTTAAATTAAATGTAATTTCAATGGTTAACGAGGAACCTAAATCCTATCGTATCTAAATCTTAAATCATATCATAAATTTTATCACTTTTACATCACTCTCCCTCGAGTGGCCCCACTTGTAAAGAAGAATATCAAATAGCTTGCAAGTGATAATACGGGGTCCTGAACTCGTTTTTTGGTACGAGAAACCACATACTCGTTTTTTTGTTGATACGAGAGACCACAAACTCTATATTCGTTTGTAATGATGAAACCAATCAAACATCGACTGACGAAGTTAGTACTTTTGAGTACATGACAGCAGTGCAACAATCAGCAATTAAATCGAAGTTAGTACTTTAAGTACATGGCAGTAAATGATGATGCAGCAGCAAACGTCATCCAAGCATACAGAAAAGTATAAAAAAAAAATCCAAAACGGCGCCTTTGTGAGGAATAAACTTCAATCAACAAGAAAAATCCAGAGCAATTTGAAGATTCAAAGGGATACAAAGCCATTCGAAATTCTGATAAAAAAAATAGCCCTCAAGGATTGGAACTAACAAACCATCGCTCCGAGGTGGAAAGAAAATTGAGAGTGATAAAATATGATTTTTATTATATTACTTTTTCTTCTTCTTCTAAAATAATATCTAAAATTAAATGTAATTTCAAAAATTTAAATCAATGTCATATATATTAAAAAAAAAAAAAAGAAAAATCATGTCATATCTAAATTTTAAATCATATCAAATTATATCTTAAATCATATCACTTTCACATCAAAGAGTACCGTTTAACCCAAATAATGCCTTTTAGAATTAGAGAGTTGGAGATCAAGTTGTCAATTTCTGAAATTTAGGGATCAAATAAAAATTTATCCTCAAATCTATGAAAACAAAATGTGTTTTACCCATAAATATTTGTGGTGAGCATCGGTCGGTTTTTTACCAATCTCGACACCGAAAACCAAAACCGACCTAATCGGTTTCCAATCTGGAAACCGACAGTTTTTTTAACCATCCCTGTGTCGGCCAAGTCGGTCGGTGTTGTGGGAAAATCGACACTCGAAAAAAAAAAAAAGGGGCGGGGACAGTGGGCTGCGAAATGGAGGAGTTGATAGTGAGGATGGATGAGAGGGAAGAGAGAGAAAGTGGGTTGATGTCAGAGAAGATGATAAATTAAAATAAAAATAATGGTGCCTCAAAACTCGTTACAGTCGACACGTAGTCCACTCTTGTTTTTTTTAATACTAAATATAAAATTAATCCATCGATTGGTCGGAAAAGTGGTTTTCCAACCAAACCGACTGGCTAAACTCGGTTTTTCTTTATGTAAAATCGATTCCGACCGAAATTGTCATCAAACCGACTTACCAATGTTGGTTCGATCGGATCGATTTTTTGGTTTCCTATGCTCATCTCTAATAAATATATTAGCAAATACTAAATTATTAGGAAAATATAAATTAAAATACACCCTAATAAATGTGGTAGAATAATCATACATGAGAAAATTTTAGTATAATCACTCATTGATGTGTGTAAATATTTCTGTATGTTAGTTTATTAGAAAATAATAAATTAAAAATTGATGAGTAAATCTTGGGTCTAGTGATGTAGAGTGTTTTTGAGTTATTTTGTTATTTTGATGTATATTTTCTTTGGCTAGTTTAACTGGTTTTAGTATTCATTTATTTAGTAGGAGTGGAATTGGATAGGAAGAAAAGAGCAAATCAAGAAGAAAAGTGAGTTTTTGAGCACTTGCAAGTGGCGCCTAGCTCCAAAAATGGATAGAAAGGCAGAATTTTGGACACCTAGGCGCTACGAAGTTGAAGCAGTGATTTTACACGCATGCTTTTAGTTATTTAGTTGTCTAAATTAGGAGCCTAGATGCTACCGACAGAATTTGGTTAAAAATCTCATTTTAGCCCTAGCCGCAAAAGGGAGAAAGGAGGAGGATTTCGAACCAAAATACGCTTGACCGAGAAAATTTGTAGATTTTTTTGAGAAACAGAAGGAACGAGTAGACGGAGGTTCAATAGATCACATGATTTGTTTTCTTTCTCTTCTTCTTTCACTCTTTTTGCTTTTCATTCAATGTTGTTGATTGAGATTTTCTTTTTGGATTGTAGCATTAACTAAATACACTCGATATTGATTTAGCCTTTATCAAACTTTACTCTTCCATTTTATTTATTTGATCTCTTTTTTAAATTTGTTGGTTATGAGAACTCTTTATATTCTTAATACATTGTTTAGATTTGATCATTCTTTACATTGATTCCTTGTTATGTGAGAAACAATATTATTGACTAGATTTGAATAGTTCTCCCAAATTAAAACAAGAGATAGAAATAATCTTGTAAATTTTGTGGCATATTTTTGAGTCATACGTGCTTAATTATTTGTTGTTAGAGTAGTCATAGAAATAGAAATATAGATACTCTACTTTTCAAGAAATTGTTATTGCTTGAGAGAAAATATCGAGTCAAGAGGGTAAAATCTGCCAACAACCTTAGTTTAGAAAAGTTTCAAATAATGTTGTAGGAAGAGCGTGAAGTTATGCTATAGAGTTTATTCCCCTTCAATTTTACTTTTGTTTCTTAATAATTGTGTTATTTTCTTCTTTTGTTGAGCTATTTTAGGATTTCTTTGTTTCACTACCATTAAACTATCAGTGTTCATATTAAACTAAAGTGGAGAAGTTAGTAATAACTTCTATATTACTTGTGACGATTCGTACACTTCTAAATTCGAACAACAAACCTAATACATTATCAAAAGTATAATCATTGATTAATAGTTGTAAATATTTGCCTTAAATGTATATTAGTTTATCAGGAAATAATAAATTAAAAATATAACCTAATTAATATAATAAGAGGATATTCAATAGAAATAATTTGGTAACAAAACATATATATATATATATAGCCTTTCAGTCTTTGAATTTTTACTTGCAGGTTATTTTAATTTTCAAAAACTACACTTTAGCGCTTAAATTTTAGAAATATGTAATTTCTTAAAATTCAGGAGTTAAAAATACAATTTTGAAAACTCATTAGTGAAAATTTCAATTTTCAGGCACTAAAAAAAGTAATTTTCCAAAAAAAATAAATAAATAACGAATAACAGGGGAGGGTAAAATGGAGATTTAACGGTCCTCTATATTGAGCATTTCAGCTGAAGCCAACGACTGAAACTGGAATCGTGGAGTCCAAATCCGATCGATCTTAGCAAATTTCCTCTCGGCCTCCCATTCAGGTAACCTTAATTCCCTTTTTTTTTTTAATCTTCCGCCATTATATCTTCTGAAACAAATGATTTTGTTCTATTTTACATGTAGAAATTTTGCTGTATATGAGTCCATTGAAATCTGATTTCATTTGTTTCTGATGGTTTCATACGTTAACATCCTCGTAATCTTCGTTTGGTATTTATGATTATTTTGATCATACTGAAAGGAATCGTTAAAAATCCTTCCACTACTTGCCGAATGGTAACAGCTTGTGCTTGTTTTCTAATGGATTTACTTTGGCAATGATACAACATCTTAGAGGTAGTTGTTTCATGTTTCAATGTCAATGATCAAATTGATTTGATCCGTGAATTCACCTTTAAAATACTGTTCTTCAATTTTGTTAAGGTTTTTAAAGCAGTGCACATATGCTAAATTACAAAAAATTAAAAAAATACTCACGTCAGATAGCCGCATAGAAGTCAATATGGCATATAGGTCCCAATTTTGCTTGTCAACCAAGTTTGCTTCTTCATTGTCAACCCAATGTTTTTCTAATCATCTTTTAAAAACGATAACTTCTTATATCTTTCTTCTCTTTTCAAACTTAATCCAAGTAAGCTTCCATGTTAATTTTCATGTCAAAAAAAAAAAATTGTCATGGAACTTTTATGAAAGGTAAGAGTAGTTTGAAACTTTTGAAAGGAAATGAGATTTTTGAAACAATGAACAAAGTTTTGAGGTATTTTTGATAATTTATCCTATTATTTAATCCATTCTAAAAGCTTCACTTGGGAATCTTTAGAATCTTTGTTCAATAAAATTCCCATTTGTTCAGAGGAAAGTTCACTGGTTGATTGACTGATCTCTTATAACTTTCAACTAGATAACCGAAATGGCTGGAAAAATTGTTCACGCCACCCTGAAAGGACCTAGCATTGTTAAGGAGATATGTGCGGCATCAGCTCTTGCTCTGTTTGCTGGTAGCTTCTGGAAAATTCATCAGTGGAATGAACAGAAGAGAGTAAAATCCTTCTATGACTTGCTGGAGAAAGGCGAAATTGCTGTAATCGCGCAGGAAGAGTAATTTGTTAGTTACCATTTTGTATTCTTTCTCTCATTTGGCTCTTGAATCAGAGATGGCCATTGTTTCTTTCTCGACTGAATAATCCATTCTGCAATTTTGTAGGTAGTCTATGGCATTATCTTCATATAATAAAACTGTGAGGGTGATGGTGTTTTCCTCCCCATGGATTTGATCATATATGTATAAGCTAATATATGATTTCTTTGGCTTTCTTAATGGAAAGTTTGATTAGAATCTATGCATTGATGATTACTTTGGTAGGCCTAGTATTGTTGGCTACATGAGAAGGAAATGTTTTTCTGTCTTCGCTGGTATGGAAAATTGACATTTGGAAAGATGCGTGGAACAAATGTAGTAGGATCTTATGATTGTCTAAATACTTGCGATATAAAGAAAAAGAAAAGATGTGGGTGGGCGTCCTCGTTGAGTGGATAACCAGGGCTCTTAATATAGTTGGTTCATTGGTTGCAACTTTAAAGTATGTGACTCTCTCTTAAATTTTTGGCTGTTGATCTGATAAATTCCTTTACTTCTTTTCTCTTTTTGTGGACTCACTATTCTATTACAATGATTTTGCCTTTACATTTTTATTTCTTTCTAGTTTCTATAGGAGGCAAGCATCTGTCCCTACTTTTTGTGACCTGAAATTTGCTAACTCTTTAACTTAGAATTGAATGATTGATAGATATCAGCAATTCTGAAAATTTGGTGAATCCTCAATAGTTTGACTTAGTATATCTATCTATGGACTTAATCCTGAGATTTTCCGTGATCCTGTCTGATGCTATTTTAGTATTTTTTTATCCTTGCACATGTTTTATGTGCAATAACAAGGCTGTCGCCAGTTATGTAAAATTTGAATCAAAATATAATATGAAAAAGTCGTGTGGAAATCCATTCTCCTATCCCTGGAGATGTGGGTGGAAAATAGTTGATTGATTTTGCCACCCTTCTGCCCAGAGGTAAGCCCCACCTTTGACTTGGTCCAAGACCCGCTCCGGGAAGAAAATTATTCGAGGGGTTGAAACAATTTGGCTCACGATTCTATACTTCTAAATGTATAAGATAGAATTCGAAAACGGGGTTTTTCAAACCTATATCAAACGATTATTAGAGAGCTAGCTAACATATTAACAGCTGTTGAAGTGTGGTGCCAGTATTGTATAATTTTTCTGGTTTCAGGGTCCTGTGAATGTGTAGAAATGATTAATTTCCTCTTGGCTGACTTGACATTTAAGGTACTTCTCTCTTATATTGGCTTTCTTGCTTCCAAGAGAAGATTACATTTAGCATAAGAATTTCAATTACTTGTTTTGCATTATATGATAAATTTGTAACATCCAGCTTGATATTAGTTTCTGTGGCTTTCATCTCTTTTCATTTTCTTGTTCTTTTGACTTCTAGTGACCAGTGAAGTAAAGCCATTTGCAGGTCAGGACAATGGGAGCTGCAAGATATTAGTAATCCCTGATATTTTTTAATGCTCTTGCCATCTGCCCATCAAAGAGCCATAATTTCAAGATTCTTCTATTATAAACACAGTTTCCAAGTTTTACTCTTTTTTTTTTCCCAATTTTTTTGGCTTTGATGAAATATCTTCATAACTGCTATGACGTGGGCTTCATCCATTGGTTGTCATTTGATAAGAAATATGTGTCAATGGCACATTTCCCATTCCCTTTATATATAGTTTCCAAGGCCAGTAGAGCCCATCCCCACCTTATATCCTCTTTTGAAGCTCACAATTGAGCTAAAGATTGCTTCTTCCCATACACAGATATGGCAACCATTTCTGGGGTGAACCTCTCAAGTCCAAGGATCTTGGCCAAGGCAGCTGAGACACCTAAAGTGCAGGCCCTCAATGGCGGGTGGCTCCACCGCCCGTGGAGGCAGTCGGGCCGATTCACGGCCATTCGGTTGAGAGTTCCTCCGGTTCACGCCGCACCAGATAAGATATCCGATAAGGTAGAAGAGAGCATCAAGAATGCAGAGGAGGCATGCGCAGGCGACCCCGTGAGCGGGGAGTGTGCGGCAGCGTGGGATGAAGTTGAGGAACTGAGCGCAGCGGCGAGCCATGCCCGGGACAAGAAGAAGGAGTCGGACCCATTGGAGAACTATTGCAAGGACAACCCAGAGACTGAGGAATGCCGCACCTATGACAATTGAGTAAATGGAAATGATATAAAGTTTGAGGCATGTTTATTATCCTTATATATATTGATTTGGGTTAAAGTTACTGGACGACATGTCGTTGTAGAACTTGTTTGAAGTTGTTATTTTAGGGGGTTGCATAGTCTACTCTCTTTAGAAACACGAATCTGGTCATAAAGTTACTTGGCTTAGTTAAAAGCTTAAGATATTACCCACGTATCATTCAAATTAAAAATTCGACTAATCTTACGTAACAATTAATTAACTTTGAGCAAAAAGTTTGTTTTTTCCTTTTTCTTTTTTCACCCAATTTTAATAGCATTTCTTGCTTGTAAATTGCCTATATCTAGTGCAACTGTGTGCGTAGGATTTATAGAACATAGGAACTAATAAAGGATAAAGTTTTTTTTTTAAGTCTTGTTTAATTTTTTTTAATAAAGGAATAAGTTACTTGTGTATCTATTGTTAACGAAATTAAAGTTTTGTTTAATTTGTAATTAATTGTGTATTAAATTAATTATATTTTCACTATTGCTACGGATAGTCTAATAGTTCTCCACTCTTGTGTTTTCTTAAGAATTTTAAGCTAAAAGAAGGATATTCCTTACCGAATGATTCGAACTTCAATTGGAACGCACGACTTTTTTAGTTAAATATAGATGCTAAATCAATTGAATTATACTTGTTATGGAGACTAATGTTGCCCTAGTCTTTTATTACATGTATAGAAGGCTTTAAAAGACGTGAGAGAGCCTTAAAGCATCAATCCTTCCTAACCGGGACTTAAAAACTCACAAATTATTAAAAGAAATTTAATGTTCAAAATTAAAAGCGAAAGATCCAATCACTCTATCCATAAAATATTTATTTTTATTTTTATTATTATTATTATTATATATCTCTTTCTTTCTTTGTNTTTGAAATTAAATTCCATATTTCAAAAGGGAGAAAAGATTGAAAAAGACTATTTCCCAACAAGGATTATTACCACCAATATCAACGAAATTTATAGAACAAATTCAATAATTTGAAATTGTCATACTCAGCCTTTTTAATGTCACCATTACTTCTGAAGATGAAATTAGCTGGATAGTTTTATAATGAAGCACAAAAATTATTTTATAGAACGATAGAAAAAAATCTAAAATGATACCAATTAAAAAGCTCGAGAATATTAATAAAATTCCATAAAAATATCTAAACAACATGGTATGACAACTTTTTACAAGTAATATGCACATATTTACTTGTTTAGTAACTCTTTTATTTATTATTCTTGTTTCCTTTTTTAGATAACTGCATTTGATAATATTTTTTATTTTTCATTATCTAAAATAAACTTAAAAATTTGTTTTTAAATTAATATTTAAATTTTCGTGTTATATTTATTTTTAAATTTACTATGCATTTTATAAGTCAAGAATGATAAAATAATCCATTCACTTAGGTTTGGTAACAGTTATATTTCTTAAAAACCTAAGAATATAAATGTTACCAACCAAACTTTTAGATTAACGAAAACTGAAGTTTCAGATTCAAACAGCTCTAGCTTATCTGAAAAAATAAAGACCAAATACGAGAAACAAGTGGCAGGCAGTTGCTTGTTTTGTTAGTACACAAGTCCACTTCAACAAGAAACAGAGAGGCCAATAGAAAATAATGAAAAATTAGTTTAAAAATACGTCATTTATTATTTATTATTTATTATGAAGAAAAGAATCAGAGTATATTCTGCAAGAAGAAGAAAAGCACAGAGAGAATAAGCTAAATTGGCCACGGAACCCAAGGAAACAGGTCAAATTTGTTGATGGATAAGCAATAGAAAAATTATCATACGGGTCTCTTGGAATACCTTGACTTGTATCTAATCTACATTATAATATACAAACTTGTCCTTTTTCCGTCTTTTTAATTTATAAAATAAAATTTCTTTCTTAGTCTCCATTTATTGGAGACCATGTTTATAATTATTTCTACTTTTTCCCAATAAATAATTCCTTACCAACTCCCACCTAGAAAAAAAAAAGTCCTGCAGGACCAACCAACATCAATAAGATCCAGAGAGGACTTCCAAAAAAAGAGATCCAGAGAAGATAAAATCAAACAAATTCAATGATGAAAAACCAACCCCATCGTTATTACCCACTGCTTAAAAACACAATGGATTAGTATAGTATAAGCCAAAGAAACTAACCTGCTGTTACTGCAGAGCATAGTATGAAGCAAATTCCATTTTCTCCTGGCATAACCATGAATCAGAATCAAACCTGAGGCTGAGACTTTTTCATTCAATCGTATCCAAAAGGTAGGGCGGCAAATTTTTGACCACCTAAAGAAGAATTGGACTCAATCCAACAGAATATGTAAGAGTTGGGACTTGAATCAACGTTTACAACTGAAATTCTAACTACAACAGATAAACATGACAGGGAGGAAATTTAACAGGAAACACTCTAGTACTTCGCATTAACAATATTCAATACATAAGACCAAATTCTATGTCATTAGTATCCAAGAACTTCTTGCGTTCGACGATTACTCGGTGAGTAATCTCGAGCAAAGATAGAAGCCCTCGAATACAGATAGTATCAGTATATTATTACCATTACCAAAAACACATAAAGTACCACGAGACATTTTCTTGGATGATCCACACTTGCAGAAGGCAATAGACACTATTACACGACAGTATGACATACAAACACCAACCCAGAGCAGAATCCTAACACCTGACACGAATACACAAACAAAAGACTCGCAAATGTGGCACCCATGAGCCCTTGAAGAGGGACTGATTAACACAGAAACATGTCAGCTACGACGGGCGGAACTGGCCGAGAAAGTTCCCATGGCTTCAAGAGAGGATCAGGGATTTCAGGGATATCCATAGCAAGCCCGCTAACCTCTTCCACAATATGGAGGACCGAGTTCAGGGAACGCAGGCGATCAGTCAGTTCCATAGCTTGAGCCCTGAGAACATTGTTCATGTTGTCGACCTGGATAAATGCTTGCTCCTTGGCACTAATGCTCTGCAGAAGCTGATTATTTGCAATTTCAAGTCGACCTACCTCGCTTGCGAGGTCCTCCAATTGCTTCTGCTTCCTCATCCGAGATCTCCTAGCAGATTCTCTGTTAGATTGCATCCGCTTTCGCTTCCTCTCATCAGGAATCCCAGATTGCGAACGTCCATTAGACCCCAAGCTGCCTTCCCTTTGAATAGACGCCATTTAATTCTCTCTTTCAAATACTTCCCGCCAAAATACTTCCAATTAGTTTCGAACTTTCTGAGTCAAAAGTTTAATTGTCTGTTCCTAACCTGATAAAATCAAATGAATCTTCCGACTACAAACTCAGGCTACCAAAAGAATAGATCAATCGAATTTCACCACGACGAATGAGGCAATTAGTTCATGAGAACACGTAGAACCAGTACAGGAACACAACCGAAAACGAGTGGAGAATACGAATACGTCGCCTTAGTAAAGAGAGCGTCATAGAAAACCTAAAATCATCGAGCTGGTCAACAAAACCCTAGAACCAAGTCGTAAACCCCGGATTTTGGAATCAGAGCAAGAGAGAACACAAGGAGCCCGGGAATGAATTGACAAACAAACAGTCCAATACCGAGAAAAGCCACCACAAATCAAGAACTCCGAACGAAGATTTCAACAAGATTCACAAAGATTCGGATTCAGCAGGACAATAATCTCCGG